ATATGCATAATTGTGTATGGGCATTTACGATATCGGTTAGTAACTATGCGCATAATGCGCATAGGCACATCTCTAAGTATACATAGTAAGACTCTAACTCGGTGCTAGATTAATTTCGGCTGAAAGAGTCAACCTAAAGATTATACATTACAGTATATGTTTGGGTAGTAAGATTTTATCAATAAAATTACCTAACAAACTTTCTATGTTTTATTCTTATAATGGGGAACCAATAATTTCTTATGTTTATTTCTTTAATGGGCGAACAAGACAATTCTTCCGAAAAAAAGAGGATCTGTTATTTTTCAAAGGCGTACTTTATTAATATTATCGATATCATCTTAAATTTTACTATCTTTTTCATAGAAACTGCTAGAGCCATTATCGTGATATAATACTTATTTCGATAAATGTCAATCTGAAAAATTAAAATTATATGTTCAGAATTGCGAAAAACAATATTCAAAAACATAAATGATTATTTTTGTTGGTGGTTTTTGTATTTTCTAATGTATTCTCATAAACCTATAGATAAAATATGCAAAAATTCAAATAAAAAAATAATTCAATAACACTAAATTAATCAGAAAATCATTCCTTCAGATTGTGTTTTTTATTATCGCTATCAACTTTGTTCTGCATATGCAGTTGAGCCAGCAGGGTATGTTCGATTTATGAACTCAGTAGCATGAATTTTATTGGCGATTTTTTTGGTGTAAATTACTTTGGCTATTATAATAATAAATTAAGACAATTAAATCGAAGTTTTGTATGCTGCATTCGTTCATAAAATGATCAATTTCCTATTATGAAACAAGTACGAAAATATATAGCAAATCACCGAGTGACTGTGATGTTAAACCAAATTCTACCTTTTTTATTATCCTTTCAAAGTTAATAAAATTGTTATGTCCGAGATAAACTTTACGTACAGAATTCTATTTGACTGTTTTCGATATTAAAGCAAAACAAAATGCTAAGCTTAAAATTAAACTTATGGTTCTATTCTTCACCCTCAAAAGTTGAAACACTAAAATATGCTATTGTTGCGTTTTGTAAACTCGAATTATCAATAATAGTCTTGAATGCGGCATGATCACGTGTAATATTAAAGACTCCATGGGGACAATTTTGTGGGCATTTGTTTAGGAGCAAATTAACAAAAATTGGATTTTCCAAGCATGGTCTTCCTTGATCGTTATTTTGAGGTAAATTAGAATAATCGTCAAATAGAACATCGAATCTTTTAGAATGAGTTAATCGTCTGCTTATAGATTTAGTAAATTTATTCTTTATTTGAGCTAAGCCAAGTTTGGCGGTTTGATGTTGTTCTACTTGTGAAATAATACTAAAAAAGAATAGTAGATTGTATGTTTTAATAATCTACATGTACAAAAAATTAATCATTTATTGATGCTGACCTGTAATTGATCAAAAATTCGACATCTTTGTTCGAATAATCCAGCTTCCCTTTTTAATTTATATGAAATATTTATTGGAGAGAATATCATTTGTAAGAACATATTATATAATAAATACTTACTACTTTCAAGATTATAACAAAATGCACAAGCTTTAATAGAACCATTTTCATTATCATTAACAAAATGGGCTCTGACAATGTGTTTTAAAATATAAGGATTAATTTGCGAATCTTTTGATTTCGAAACAAAAGTTGCCAAAAGACTCGTTTTATTTATATTCATTCGGTGTTTTGAAATTTCTGCTGAGTATTTATCATCTATAATATTCATATTATTGATTTGTTCTTCGCCATTTTCGAATTCTAGTTGTGATAAACTTTGCCCAAGCAGGTTTAATCTAGTTGATGTACCGATTAAGATCAAGCCCAATTTTACTGAAAACGTTCGGAAACTTTGTTGCTTTTTTAGTTTTCCAAGTCGATGTAATAGAATTACTGGCTGTTCTTTATTTTTATAATAATGAACCCGAGATGCAAATATTGTATCGGATTTATTGTCATTCATTTCCGTAATAAAAATTTGTGTATTTGATAGATCAATATTTTTAGGGAATTCATATACATATGGTTCTGGCTCGGAAAGATCCATTTTGAAGTTGTCTATATTTATCACTTTAGAATAAACGATTCGTTTCTTAAATTCCTTAGCTACTTCTTTTTGTATGTCTTCACCAAGTATGTCAAATATAGAATGAACCTTCGAATATTTTACTACGCTCCATTTCTTATAATTCTTCAGAGATTTTAGCCATTCTATAAAAATTAATTCGTTACTATAAATGAATAATAGTTTCGCTTAAATTGTAATACCTACTAGGAAAACCTCCTTCATCATAAAATTCTTCTTCTGAGCCCCCTCGTATTTTTATAAATGAATATTCCCTTTCCTGTGAATTCGAAGTCTTCTTTTCTTTATTTTTTTCAGTACTTCCTTCGGCTTCAATAGACCCAGGAAAGTTCAATCCAGTAGATGTACTTACATCTTCAGTAGTAGCTGCTTCTTTAGTTCTGGCTTCTTTTTTACTAACATATAAAATACTTCCACCAATTTTAACTTGTTCGCACCAATATTCGCCAAACTCTTCGGTAACTTTCTTAAGGGATTGATATCGATCTTCTGATTCAAGAGCTGCCTCGACTGCTGAAACGAATTCTACTGTAGGTTCAATCTCAGCTTTGGTCATATTAAATACTGCTTTTATGCTTTTTTTTACATTGTATTTATCGAATTCAGCAACATTGCAGTGTGTTTCGGATCTCGAAATGTAAGTGCCATCAATTGAAGGCAAGCTAAAGGGAAGTATAACATAAACAAATAAGAAACAGAATTTATATTACAAATTTCATCATTAATTCTTACTATGGTAATTTCCCTCCAACCTTTGTCGTTACAAAGAAATTTTTTAAATAAAATTCATCGATTCCCGTCCTGCAAACTTTCTCCTCATCACGAATATCTGGTTTCGCCAAAATAGACTTAGGATATTGTTTAATCTTGTAAGCCTTTTTTTTCTCTGCATGCACCGGCCCATCCTTCTTAAAAAACACACCATATTCAAGAGAATTTATTCTTATAATTTCTGGCCAATCTGGTTCGATAGTGCCGCTGATCTTTAAAATATTATCACAACCAAGTATAGCTTTCAAATTATATGTTTCTTCGTATTCACGAGGCATTTTGGGATCATATTTGCGAGATGAATTTAAAAAATTGACTTTATCGCCCATCCTTATATCAGAATTGGCAGAAAGTGTCTTACGTATCTCGGTAAGTTTTGCATCTAAAGGAAGTTTGATAAAATCGAACTTATCATCATTGACTTGAACTGTAATTTCTTCTAAAGATAAATTTAAATTTTCCATGTTTATGAAAACTGAAATGTAGCAAAATTCAAAAGTAAATCATATAAATGTAACAACAAAGATGATGCATGTAATATATTATTATCGTTACATGTATTTAACGTTAACAAGTTTGAAAATCAGTGCAATGTATTCAATGCGAATAACGATAATAAATAAAAAAAACTAGTTGGGTCATGTACATGTACAGTCGCCTCAAAAAGTAACGCCCGATCTGCATGTGTAACAACATAGGTAAATATATGCGTCGCGTTTTCCCATTTTTTGTTATTGTTGACCCTAATTTTTTTTG